ACAAAACTCATCTCTTTAACAGCACTTAACGGACATAATTACTACCGCTTTTCCGTTGAAAATATTCTAATAAAGTTGTGATGAGTGTTTTACGGCTATTAAGCTATCTTGTACACTTCTCACTAAAAGTGGTTCTAAAAAGAATAATGTTCGACTGCAAGGTCTGCTAGTAAAAAACAATTGAGCTTAAAATATCTCAACACAATTCTTTTAAATCAAAAACTCGTAATACAAAACTAAAGTGTCAAAACGAATCACAATGTCATGAAATAAATAAATGTGGCAACTTGACATTTTTTACAGCAGAGCTACCACCTGTCTCCTACTACCTACTAGTCAGCCCGGCGACAAATATGTTGCAATGATTGGCAACAATGAATTAATAATATCAAATATATTTACATATTGTATTCTTATCCTGATATTTTTGCAGAGACCCAAAGCAAATGAGGAAGCAGATGTTAGACAATCGACTATGCTATGTCCTGATCCAGCAGAATTAGAAACAGGCAACACAAATTATAATATGTAATTTTATATTATACACAATAAATTTTTAACCTAAAATCTTTGTTATTTTTTTTCGTTATATATGTAGCTAACGATAATACCAGGGCAAGACCGATTTTTCTAAATATTGATGAAATGGACAAAAAGGACAAATAACACCCGAGAGAAAATTGTTACCATCTCAACAAGCGAATATAGTTCCCACTCCTTTTTAAAATATCACTGCCCCTAAAGTATAGTTCCTAGGCCCACTCCGCCACTTAAAATGTTACTCTATAAGGAATAGTCACTTTGAAGTATATTTCGAGAGTGACCGGTTAGTGCCTACCTACCATAAAAGTGGAAAATAAACACCTCGATTGCAAGTCGCAAACATGTAATTTAAAGAAGAATAAAAAGAAATTTAGATATTCTAGTACTTTCAACCGAAGAATTAAACAAAAGGAATCACTGCGAGCCGATGCATCAACATCAGAAACAAAAAATACATCTTTCTATAATCCTACTTATTAGTAGGATTATACATCATAAATTCCTACATCATAAATCAGGTAGTGACTGAGACATTTTTGAAGCTGTTTCTGTAGAAGAGTGTAGTGTTAGTTCATCTGAAACTGAATCTGAGAGGAGAACTACCATGGTTCAGCATTGAAACACCAGGTTCAGCATTGGTCTGGTTGTACCAAAGATGCCGAAGAATGGGGTTGGAAGAAAACAAAAACAGGCATTACTCCAGTCACAACGTTGAAAGATCCAGCTCCAAAATCCCTGTTGGCATTTTTATCCTGTAAATGCAAAACCAACAACTATGGTAAAGCCTGCGGATGCAGAAAAGCAGGATTAAAATGTTCAATGATTTGTGCATACTGCAATGGAAAATCCTGTGACAACGTCACTGAAGTGTTACTAGATGGTCACCGCCCACTTTATAGTGGCTTTGATAGTAGCAGTTACGTATCTGCCACTATGAATGCTAGTTGGGATGTCACCAAACAGTGCCGTGGCACATATTTTTCTTAACTTAGCCGTTTGAAGAGATATTTATATTTTTTGATAAATGTTTTGATTACGCCTATGGTGTATACGGTGGTATCATACATATTAATTACGAAAAAAACGTATTAAAATGTTAATAAAAGGTACAAAACTAGTATCGACGTATAGCACATATCAAGTACATATAATATCAGAAAAATAATTATAGAATTCAATAAGAAAACTAAGAAAGTGCTAAAAAGGTGGAGTAGACTTATTTACCTATGAAACGTAACTCTTGGCTCTTTCTTATCGCTGCGGCTTTTACAATTGAAAGTTGAGCAACTAATCACCATTGTAATAAAGTTTTTACAAAGTTCACTACACACAAACTATTAAAAATCGCTAAAATTGTCGCTGATGACCAACTCATTCGTTGCTATCAAAAAAATGGCGTCTAATGCCACAAATTCTGCTGTAGCCCGTATATTTGTATTCTTTAGTCATTGTTTTTCATACTAACATAATACGGAAGTTATTTTTGGTAGTTATTTTTTGGAGTTGCAAGTTCGTTGTGATGGAGTGTTTGGAGTTGCAGTTTCTTGCGTGGCGATGCAGAGCGCCGACTTTGTATCACGAGCGGTCGATCTCTATATCTGTTATTTTTTAGAAGTAGCAACGGTTGCGTTATGTTATTTCTAAATAACTGTTATAAAATAAAAGATAGCTAAATAACAACCTGGTAATATTCAATTTCGTTCCTGACCGTTGCACAGTGGTTCCCAGATAGGTCATTACTTAAAAATATTAATTTCAAAATGCTTGCATGAAACTGTTGCTAATACTTTTCTTATATTCTCCTGTAAACGATACATAATAAATAACAAAATCAAGTAAGCCTAGTGTAGCGCTTTTTTTTAATAGAAATGTCACATTTTTGCTACTGGTATCAAGCTGACATAAACAGTTTTCAGATAACGCCAATTAATTACTTATTTTATTAAAATTGATAAAAGCTGTTGCCTTTTCTGTAATGGACGTTCGAAAAGAAGGTAAAAAGAACTGTTTTTTCTTTTTTGCACTTAATTAAACCTAAGTAATATTAGTTTACGGTAATTTATTTGAAGGCAACAAAAATAGTATTTTTACATTTTTGCTTGTCACTCTTTAAGACGTTTAATTATTTTCGCTTTCAAATCCTATTAAACGGCATTATAATACTTGTTGCTTAAAGTATATTGTATATAAATTAATTGCCACTGGCTGCCGCGGATAGCGGCCGGATCTTATACCGGGTGGTTAAAGATTGAGTTTTTGTCTTAAAATAAAAGTAACTTATTTTTTCCTCTTCGTGTCAACTTATTTCGTGGACACACTGTATATCAATTGACAATAAAATTGTATTTATAAAATGAAACAAATGTCTCTTTATTTTTTCAATATTTAAAATAAATTTGACCTCTTCAATATGAAACAACATGTACATATGTATGTGCAAACATAATCTGTATACGTTTCCGAATAGTTAGAACTTAAAATGGAAATCACACGAACTGGGCCTAATTTTTTTAATACATATTACATTAAGTTTTTTATATACATTTATTTAGCATTTGTTATCAATTTCTATTAAAAAAGGTGCAGTCAAGCTATATCTAGATATCTAACAGTTATGACCGCGCAGCTAATTAAGGGGAACCACTGTGCGTTGGGTCGCAACCATAGACAAACAGAAAAATTAAAAGACTGCCAGAAGACATACGACGCGCAGGCAAATGTTCCTGTAGCGCATCGACGCAAGTGCCGAAATACGTCCATCTAGCTATCTGTGTTTCGACACTAGTCCGTTAGTCTTAGCATATTCAGAAAGAACACGCTATCTCCAGCGTTGTCAATTTGTGAATTCCCCAAATTTTGGGAATCCGGAGCCGATTAGGGAATTTTGTGGGATTAGCAATAGGCGGCACGAAAATAAGGGGAGTTTCAACATTTTATTGCTGATTGAAAATGACGTAAAATTTTTAACTTTAAAAACAGGCAAGGACGATATATCTTTCCCAACTTAAAAATTATAATCTGCTTTTTACTTGTGCTTCCCTTTGCAAATGCTTCAGTTGAAAGAAAATTTAGTGACCTCAAATTATTTAATGACTACTAGGGAAAGGATTAAAAAACTAGGAGGTAATTTACCGTTTAATCCCTCTAACATATATAATAAATATTGTATTTTTATTAAAATTATTTTTTTTGTTAAAATAATCATATGGGGAATTTTTGGTGAATCGGGACATTTTTCTCCCCAAATTGGCGAATTTAATTTAGATTTTTGGGTAGTTTAGAAAATTGACATTGGCAACGCCGCTAACCTCATTCTTTTGTTTGTTGTTTGTTCAAAAACCGGCACACGGCGTAGTACAAGGCTTGATAATTTTTTAAGAAATTTTTGATTGTTAATTTTATTTTTGTGCAAACTAAACAGTTGTTTTTATTAAAAATACCGGACAAAGGTAAGAAAGGTAATGTCCATGCAGAAGTTTTTTATTTCACAGGCTATTCTTTCTAGAAATTATACCATCCAGCCCTCCTATTTAATTATTAAATGAAAGTGTGAAAGAGATATCAAGGGCTATTCTGTTAAAATATCATCCGGCCAGTCTAGGCCCTGTTGTGAACCAGAAGGTCTGCTAAGTTGGATGTTGGATATAGAATGGAAGGAATATCATGGCCGAGAACAAGGCATAATTGTATGTCCCTTGATGTAGGGGGGTAGGTTTGTTTCTAATAGGCAGTAAAACCAAAAATTCTATTGTGAATCTTCATATTCTAGGCCTGTAAAGATAAATAATTCCTGGAGCCATCTCGAGGTATAGTACTCAAGTCGGAGCGAATCAATTGATAGCACGATGAAAAGAAATAATAGCCATCATAAAACTGTAAATATGTATACAACTAGTACAATGTAGCTATTTAACTGTAAGTACAATCTAGCTAGATATTTAGTAGAATAGGGGTATTATAAATTAATACAAAATACAATAATTGGTCATTCTTTCCATTCCCATTCAATTCTTCCCATTTAATCGTTTTCCCATAAAAAAAGGAAAATTAAAATTAAGAGTGCCCTTAACCAAAAATAGTGAAATAAATGGAGATAGTCAAATTTTATATTAGCGTGTAAGACTTTGAATTTTTATTCAAAGTGGTGTAAAAGGATTATAAATGCTGTATTTATATCCTTTAATATCATGATAATATAAAATTTCAGTAGGTATCTCCATTTATTTCACTGTTTTTGGTTAAGTGCACTCTTAGTTTTAATTGCCTTAAAAATAATAAGTATAATAATAATTTAAATCTCCCGCTCTTTCATAGTTCGTGCCTGTAGCCAACTAGAGGGCGCCAAAAGCGCAATCTCCCAACATTTTACCACGCGATTCACCACTCTCTAGTCGCAACCGAGTTGGACATGTGAAGGCCACATTATAACGCATAGGGTCTTAACACAAAAACCTTGCTTTCATTTACGGAACTTTATTTGTTCATTGAGATGCCCTCGTATAAAATAGGTAAGCATTTTTCTTACAAATCTAATTTCTTATAAATAAATAAACCCTTATTAGTATTTTACAAGTTTTTGTACACTATTAAGACGTATGTCACAGTAATATTTAACATTTCTCTTCATTGTTTTAAACTTAAACATTTAAATATCTGGCCTAGAAGCGCTAAACATAAGTTTAGGCAGTGGCACTTAAGGGCTTTCTGCGCTCCAAGGAAATCTTGAATCCGTCCGCTCTCTTAAGAATAATATCACCCTGTAGTTTGTAGTCTTCTTCCTTGTAGTTGGATTTGATCTTGTAGTTTCGTAAGATGGTGGATAGAAGGATTTTCAGTTTCAACATGGCGTATTTGCGACCTGAGAACAATATTATTGATTAGAGTAGCTCTTAATATAAATAAAGTTAATTATTGGTAGAGTAATGCTCTATATGATAGTGATAATGATATTGAAATTATATTTTTAACCAATTTTAGAGCGATTAATGTTAAATAATGCAGTCAACTACTGTGAACATTACTTTGAATAGTTTGAATGTGGTAGACAATGATACAGTATTAAAACCAATGACTAAAGAATTCAAGGACAAATAACACCCGAGAGCAAATTGTTGCCATGGCACCAAACAGTGCCGTGGTGTGGCCATATTTTTTTCTTAACTTAGCTAGGATATTTATATTTTTGATAAATGTTTTGACTACGCCTATGGTGTAGGCAGTGGCATCATACTAATTAATTACGAAAAAAACGTATTAAAATGTTAATAAAAGGTACAAAACTAGTATCGACATATAGCACACATCAAGTACATAGTACATATCAGAAAAATAATTATCGAATTCAATAAGAAAACTTAAGAAAACGCTAAAAATGTGGAGTGGACTGTTTATTTACCTATGAAACGTAACTCTTGGCTCTTTCTTGTCACTGCTGCTTTTACATTTGAAAGCTGAACAACGATCGCCAATGTAATAAAGTTTATACAAAATTCACTAAACACAAACTATTAGGAATCGCTAAAATTGTCGCTGGTGACCAGCTGATGACTCATTCGTTGCCATCAAAAAAATGGGGTCTAATGTCACAAATTCTGCTGCAGCCCGTATGTGGGTGTTACATGTATTCTTTAGTCATTGGTATGAACTTACCGACACAACTCCTAGGTCCAGCACTGAAAGGAATGAACGCGTAGTAGTGCCTGTTGGCTGCTCTTTCTGGCAAGAAGTTATCTGGGTCGAACTTGTCTGGATTGGGGCCGTAAATTTCTTCCAGACGGTGGACTTTGAACTGAGCAATGACAATGGTGGCTCCAGAAGGAAGAGTCAAATTTGGATTAGAAGCTGAAGAAATAATGATAATAAATTTTAGAAGGTTACGTTGTATAAATTCAGTATTAATTTGAAGCTACCGTATCGCAAAACATTTTCCGATGCACGTCATCAATCATATCGAAATTGACACTAAGCCTACAGTCTGACAAACGGATCTGAAACAACGGGGCAACGGAAAAGGATCGCAATTTTCTAAAATCATGACCGATTTCATTCATAAAATATCCACGAGCGTGCGGTGTTTCATAAAAATATATCAGGAATTTTTATAATATTTTCCAGTAAAGTTTATAATATTATTTTACTTTAAATGTACCTACATTTTGTTTAGTCATTAACCAAATATAGTAATATTTGTTAAAACGCGTGTACTAATTACAATAACCACAAATCAAGTTAAAGATATAAAACACAATACAATAACACCGCCACTGGATTTTTCAATAATAGTGACTGTTTCTACTATTCCTAGAGAGGGGCATAAATTTGGGGGTAATGGCGGCAAGACGTGCGAGAATCTCGACCAATCAGACTGGTGGAATCTGGGATGCCATGACGAATTTTGTCAGCGTTGCCAGCTTACCCTAAGCGGACTTTATCTTAAGGAAATACTTTACCTTTTATAATAGGCAGAATGAACGAAATCTGTTAATTAGATAAATATACATTATTACAATAGAACTACGTCAACATATTAGCATATATATATAATTATGTATGCTGAAATGAACTAAAATATATTCAATTTATAGGTAATATCGAGCAACTTTGCTTTTCTATAATTAAACGTGACAACATCGACTTTTTTTGCCCGAATTCCTTCCGCTGTTTTAGATTCGTTTGTCAGATAATATAAACCTGACTAAATAAAATTTTGGCAAAATTTTTAAAATTTGTTTTATAATTTAAGATACCGAGCAGCTCTTCATTTTACTTTATAGAGCAAATGATTGTAACATATATTTTATTTACATTAAAGCTACAAAATTTATATACAGAAAGGTCCACAGACTTCGAGACAGGAAAAATCAAGTCCATTTAGCGTGTGTCGCAATTTTCACACCTTAAAAAATTAGTTTTTTATAGCTATAGTAACTGCAGCGACTATGAAAAGAGCTGTGTGGTTTTCATAGAAAATAAGGGCACCTATAATTCATTTGAGAATGTTATAAATCGCTAAAAGAGGTTTCAAATCTCTTGAATTTCTATTAATATTAAATAAATTTTATTAAAAATGGAACTAAAATTGTTAGTATCATTAAAAACAATTCATTGTTTTTTTAATCCAAAACTTTTGTTTTTTTTAATCCAAAAAAAATAAAAGTAACAAATCTCTCAATCAAAATATTTGTAGTCCTGAAAAGGACCTTTGCTTTCACATGTTCGTCAAGGTAGGTAATGGGTAAACGGTAAAAAACAGGATAATGAAATTTAAAAAATTACAAAAATTATTCAAAAATGCCTCCCTCCCATTAATAACCCAAACGATCATAAAATCCCCTCCTCACATTGGATAACATATCAGGGGTGACAGTGTCAAAGGCATTAAATATTTTCTGCCTTAACTGCTCCAAGTCTTGAATTTCTTCATGGCCGTAAATTTTAGATTTTATGTACCCCCATAAAAAGAAATCATTTACTGAGAGGTCAGGTGAAATTAAACGTCAGTCTAAACAAAACTGTACATTTTTGAAAACTTGTCAAAATTTGGACACATGCTAAATGGACTTGATTTTCGTATGTCTCGAAGTCTGTGGACTTTTCTGTGTATCGTGTTGCTGATGAATCTTTGTGATTAATTTTCGTTTTTTGCCTATTTTCATAGTCTTTTTTTAAAATTTGTACTTACTGTATTGTACTTAATTAACACAAACAGTTCTTTCAAGAACTAAATTCTTGAGTTTTTTTTGTATTGCATTTCTTGAAATTGTTTGTCGAAAATATACCGAATCATTTAAATAGTCGAAGCAAAAAGATTGTAGTTTTCCTGAACAATTTTGAACGAGAACGTGACAATAAAGGTGCTTTATTACACTTGATTGCAGTCAGAGAAGTAAGTGATTGGTAAGCACATTATACCACTTTCAAAGTTATTTCTACGTTAGTTTTTAGTAAATTCTGTCATTGTTAGTTTGTGCATTAATGGCATTCTCTTACTTGTTATTACCACTTGTGGTGTTGTAAGTCATACATCAATAAATAAATAACCCATAATAACGCTTAGGACCTTTTAATGGACTAGTTTTTACCAATATGTAATAAGTACGTAAAATAAGCTATAAAACAAATAAATCAATTACTTACTAAAATATTAATTATTAAATTAAAAATAAAAATATTTAAAAAATGATATAATAAATATATTGTTTGTCAATTTTAAATTAATATTCATCCCATAAATTTATCACAATCTGGCAGCGCTGTCGCCATCACTTGTCACTGAAAGTTGATCACGAGCATCGGAAATTGTTTTGCGATTACTGTATAGAAGCTCCAGACATAAAAACTAAAATATTTTTATTGGAAGACCAAGATGGTGAGACTGGGCTCTATTTTACTTAATATGAGTGGACTCGCTTTTATGCTTAAAAGAAAATTTTATGCTTGAAATGCACTTTCGCTCATCACTAGGCTTTCATAAAAATTTATTAATAAAGTGCAAGACTTAAAAGATTCTTGCAGCGACATCAAGACCAAGAGAGTTTTGGTCTTATTGGTCTTGCATTGACTCATCACTAACCAATACACCTACCCAATTTAACATCCTGCTGAAGCTGACGCGCAATAATAGGTACTGGAGGGAACAACCTCAAAGTTTCCAAAAGACACCTCTCCAAATACTTCATTTCCAACGTATCGGCGAAAGTAGCCATCCTGTCCGATCCCTGGAAGATCTCATCCAACTCCTGCACAACCTTCTCTTGTATCTCTGGATGGGCAGCCATCTGGCACAGGAAGAAACTGGAACCAGCGGCTGTGGTGTCGTGACCTTCGAACATGATGGTGTCCACCTGCTCTTTGATTTCTTCGTCGTTGATGACGACACCGTTTTGGGAGGCTTCGATCATCAAGTCCAAGAAGGCCATTCTCTTCTTTTCGCCTACGTCATCGTCTACGTAAGATCGTCCTTGAGACCTACAGACTGGCCGTAGGAAGTGCCCTCGAGGGTGGTTGTTTTTAGTGGTACGTTCTTTTCGAGTTTGCTGGTTTTGTATTCGTCGGGGAGTTCAGCTGTGGAACCTCGGATGCCTGCAAAAACCAAGCGATACCAATAATGTTAATAATCTATTAAGACGCACTATGGGGAGCATCATATTTTAACAAAACTAATATAGGTACACTCACGGGCAAAAAAACTTATGATTTCTAACCATAGAGAAAGATAATAAATTCTAACCACAATTTCTCTTGACGGAAGATAATTATTAAATACCAAAATGACATTTCTCGCAAATTTTGATGTATAATTTGTGGAAAAGTTAAAAGTTTCATAACTTTTTCTACTAATTGAAAATGTCTATCACTAATTTTGACGTTCTCAATGCTTACATTGAAATTAAAGGAACAAACTTCTACGCTAATTGAAACCACTAATTTATTCCACTAAATGCGAGGTGAATGAAGCTTTAAATTCGTTAATTCAAATGTTTAAGACCAGAATATCTATTTTTGTAGGATATATTATTACCTTGTTCGAAGTCAGCCTTCTTTTTCTGAATAACTCTGCGAGTCAGACTGTGGATAACGCCGATCAATTTTTCCTGATACTTGGCGGTATTGGTCAGGTTAAAAATGAGGTCTGGTCTGAACCAGAGTTTGGCATGCCTGAGATGGAGGATCTCGCACAGCTTCATCACGGCCATGGCGTAGTCGTATCCACTCTGGTCTTGAGTCTTCTTGCTCACACCCATTGCAGTTTCTAAAGAGTTCCAAATAAAGACAATTAAATAATACATTACGTTAATAGTATGATCAAGACTCCAATTTAGAGCAACTTGGGTTTATATCAAATTGGTAAAAATTATGTTAAATATAATTCCAGTAAACCAATTTGATGTAGGCAAGCAAAACTCCTTCTATATCAACAGACGATGTCGTAAAGTGTCGGTGAGATATTAGTGCCATCTCCTATTAGTACCATCTGTATTAGTACATTTCATTTCATATATATTTGAGCGGGCCGAAAAACGCTCTTTACCATCTTTTAACGGGAGATGCACTAATAGCTCACCGAAACTTTACGACATCGTCTGTTGATATAGAAGGAGTTTTGCTTGCCGTATCTGTGAGAACCAATCCCTGGACAGCCCACCTGATCAAGGGTAGGCCCAGAAACCGGTTGTGGGAGTGGAACTTGGTTCCCCTCTCTACGACAAGCAAAACAATTTTCTTTTTACTTTTTATTTTTTTATTTTTTCTCTACTTTCGATTTTTCGAAATTAGAAAAAAATACACAGCTAAAGGCAAGAAAATATTATTTATTAATTATACAGTTATTTACCTAACAGAATTTCTACTGTCGCTTCTGACATGTAATCATGACAGTCGAATTCCTTTCCAAGAGTTCCTTCTAGTTTCTTAACGGTTTCTCTGCTGTTCTTGTTGAAGAGATCGATGAAGGACTTCAACACGTTCAAGTGGAAAGTGGGGGCAATGAGTTTCCTGTGAGCCCTCCATTTCTGGCCTGTGGAAATAAGGAGACCATCTCCCAACCATGGTTTGAAGTATCTGTATTCTGGCGATCTGGAATAGAATAAAGACATATTTATTCCTTCTTACATTATGATTTGGGTAATGTACTGAGTACAAAAATGTATTCCACTAGCGGACAATGATATCTACTCAGGTGCTTAGGCCAAATAGGGTGGTTTCGGAGATTTGATAGTTTCAACTTTTTTTTCTCGATTCTTTTTTTATCCTCTATCCAAGGCTTCTGAACTCCTGATTAGACGTTAAAATGTATCCGCCAGTGAGCATTCCATTTACAAATCTACAAATTTTGTATAAAAATATATTTAAATTACAGCAAAATAAAACAATAATTCACTACAATACACCAAAACGCTTTACTTTTGCAATGGACGCGCGTCTCGCTAACATTAGCAGAAGATTACAACTCAAGTTAGTTTTAATCATCAGCTGATGCTGCTAACACTGTTAGCGAATTGCGCGTCCAAAGAAACAGTAAAGTGTTTTGATGTATTGTGAAGAATTGTAGAATGTAGAATGTTTAGTAGGAGAGTTAATCACCGCGACCTTACAGATCTATTGTTCGTTCCCCTTTCTTGAGTTATAACGAGTTATAACTCATCATACAATCTCAGGGCTTTAACAAAAGCCAGTATCTGAGACGGCTCCATCCTCGACATCAGCGGTACCAAAGTTCATGGCACGAATGGTCGTGGTCTCGGCGCAGTCAGTGATAAGGTGTTCTGGTGTTTCCCCATTTTCCTCACAGAATCTGCATTCGCCGTTGTTTCTCAGCTTCAGCCTACTGAGGTGTTCGTTGATGAGACAGTGTCCTGTTAGAAACCCCGTGATAATCCGAAGATTGTTTTTACTTAAATCAAGGAAAACCTTTGATTTTTCTCGGTTGCGGAGAATTAGTGTTTTATTTTGCTGTTGGCACAAAAGGTTCCAACCCTCAACTGTAATATTTGAATTACCTTGAAAATATATGAAAAATATTTTTAAAATTGCGTTGTTATTGCTCACATGCTTTGCAATTCGCCATGACAATGGTTATTAGTCATTAAATATATTTTGAATTATCATACAGGAGAGGAGAAGTAATTCTGTTTTGTTGCATATTCAGAAATAGCTTGGAAATAGCAGAATAACTTGGACACCGAGCAAGTAAGTTGGTAATAAAGAAAACGGAAAAACAATGTAAAGGCCAAACAGCGCTTGACAAGGTCATTCATAGTTCCAGAAGCCTTCTGCGGTGCAGCACAACCACGAACAAAAATAGTCACAAATAGGCAGGGTCAAAAATCCCTAGAATAATAGAAAAATTCACAAGGAGAGAAGCAGGCAAAATAGTTTATATAATAACACTCACCAAAGGATAGGACAACACTCAACAACGGACTGATAAATAAAGACAGGAAAATTGCCAAAATTGTAATGGGTCTATCAACAGGGTATTGTAAGTTTAATAGGCCTGATAACAGACAAATCAACAAACACATTCTGTCTGTTAGTTGATAAAACGGTATATATTCTATATCAGTGAAATTGATTACCTGACAAATGTGCTTTCTCTTGTACTAGACGATAAGTCGTTAACAAATTGAAAAATTGAGTTTCTTGAATATAATCTACAAACAGAGGACCATAAGGGCTCAAACGCACTGACGACCAGGTCGCAGCGACCAGCATTTGATTCAATGATATTAGGAAACGCAGCTGCGATCAGTAATAACATTGAATCAATGCTGGTCGCTGCGACCTGGTCGTCAGTGCGTTTGAGACCTAATGGATCTAAAAATGTCGCAGTAGAAGAGACCAAAAATCACCTCCTAAAATATCTTTTAATAGGACTTTGTTCTTGATATTTATATCTAGAAAACATTCGATCAATGTGTACTACTAGTCATGACTTATGTGCGAAACATGGACACTTAAAACCGACATTACAATTACGACGTTTGATGGAACAAAGTGTGCTGGAAATAACAGAGAAAACTATAAAAAAATACAAAGGATACGACAAAAGTCCCAGATAATAGATGTCATTCACAGAATCGAATACCTTAAGTGGCCATGGGCAAGAAGGACGGACAACAAGATAGACCACAAAAATACTGAATGGTCGCGAGGAATACAGGAGACCTAGAAGAAAACCAAATCTAAGATAGAAATTAATAGGAATAACTAGGATACCGCATAGCCAACAATAGACAACAATTACAGGAGAATACATTTAAGAGAGGAAATACGGGGTGGCCCATCGAAAACGTTCCGCAAGGCATAACGGCCAGAGTATTTTCTTTTTCAAAAAATCCAAAAACACGTCAATTTTGTTTGTGAGGGGGACAACTTTTGCCCCAAAAATGATTGCAAAATCTTCAACCCTCTGAGCGGGGGTGTCATCCCCCAATTTTTTTCAAATGGGAAGGGGGGTCAAGTGGTACCGCAATGAAAAGGGCTTTCTATTATCTATACTTTCCCGCTTCGTTTTTGAAAATCGGTCGAGTCATTGAGAAAATATGAAGGATTGAAATTTGAAAAATTTATTTAAAAATTTATCAGAGTAAATGATAAAGATAAATTCCTTCGACCAATTTGCTGTTTTTCTTATTATTTCTAGATGTTTTCGCATTTTTCACTTGCCACAAGGTTGAACGATCAGGTGCGGTAGTTGCGAGATAGCTGTTCTGTGACTTGTGCGTTGAAGTTCTTCTCAATATCGTTAAATTTTTAACAATTATGCTGTACTCACTTGCAGAAAAAGTAGAAATAATCGAACTTTATTTTAAAAATAAACTTTATTTTACTTTATTTTAAAACGCCTTCGTTGAGTTTGTAGCGTTTTTTTTAAACCACTACCACTGCGAACGGCAGCTTTTCATCGGAGAGCAGTCGTGGATAAGGTATTTCACTAAAGAGAAAATTAATCAGTAATAATTAACAAAATATATATAGATATTGGGCGCCAGGCATGAACAGAGAAAGAAAACACAGTTGTATAATACTTAAAACTAATGACTATATTTATTCATGATGAATTCTGATGGTAAATAGCATTGTACAATTTTAATAATTATTATAGTGGTTATTTGTTGAGTAAAACTATATATGTAAATAATATTAAATATGTTCTATGAAAAGACTATGAAAAAAATACAATGCGTGTAACGTTATAGAAAATATAAGAAAAGTAGCATTACTTTATTTAAATTGTTAAATTTTATGCGGTGTTAAATCTGATGTGTTGCAACCTGTAGATTCTAGAATCTATGTCTCGTTATTCATCTGTTAATATAGCGCAATAATAATATCTATAGAAAGTAATACTATTACAAGGCGTAATATAATGAAACCTAAAATCTAAATCACATTGCAACTACTGCATCGACATAAATGTTCTTAATAATCTAACCACTAAATATAGTCTGTACGATATTATTTAAAATGTACGTTACTGTTTAAGACTGAAAATATAGAAAATCTAAAACATAAAAACTAGAACGTAAATCTACACTTAGCTGTTCTTTATATAATCTTGCTTCAAACAGTAGCAGCGTGAGGTGGTCTAGCATCTCTGTACTGTCTGTCGGCGATCCTGTTGGTCAAAACAACAAAAGGGGCCAGGTTGAGGACACCATGAATCCTTACAGCCGTAGCTACTGACTAGGCTTAGAAATGGGAGTGAAGCAGCATGGGACTCAAGCTACATCCACGCTGTGGCACTTAGATGTAAGAAAAAATCGTTCTTACTGGGGACACTCGTCCACAGGACATCTGTACATAAGATAATGTCTGTACATAAGGCACTACCCGTACCTTGGAAATAGTCCGTACCTTGGACACAGTCCGTACCTTGGAAATAGTCCGTTTCCGAGGGCTCAATAAATAATAAACAACATGTCCTTTCTTCCATGTGACATTCTGGAGGACAAAAGAAAAGGGACGCCAACGTGCCAGCAAAACACAAATACAAGTTGGGACATCCGTAACTCTACCCTGTTGCTTTGAAATAGCAGCTGATTCAAATTATACAGCAAGATTTAAATAATCACCATTTCTAAAAGCTGGGATACAACCGAGAGTCAAAACAAAGTGAGGTTAAGCACGGAGAGAGTTGACAGAAGCGACGTTGACAGCGCGCGCCTCCACAGAATAGTAACAGGGTTGTGTCGAACGATAACAGGGTTGGCGACTAGGGAACGTAAAAATTACGTGTCAAATAAACTATCCGGCCTGAACGAGAGGGAATCCGGTGATGATAGGCCAGACATCATATATCATATGTAAAAAAGACATGTAACGAACTAAAAACGTTACAAGTTCTTGTACCAACTGAATTTTGTACGGGTGGAACTTTTTTTAATATCCTTTGGACGCTTGTACGATTCACGCCGGTCTCATTGGTTAATTTTCTTGTACTCAGCCTACTTGGCAACTTGGCCTAATACGAATACCTCCATAGCTTCAGTTACTACAGGATTTTCCCTCTGCCTCTTTTTATTCATAACGGAACTAGTTTCGCGAACTTTTGCTACTAACTCGCGAACAATTTTGCCATAAAGGTGTTTGTTAGGATGGCGTTCATTGAATATCTGCGCAACCCGATTGCCACATTCATTATTTTTAAAATAAAGTTCGATTATTTCTACTTTTTTTGCAAGTGGGTACACCATAATTGTTAAAAAGTTTAACGGTATTGAGAAGAACTTCAACGCACAAGTCACAGAACAGCTATCTAGCAACTACCGCACCTGATCGTTCAACCTTGTGGCAAGTGAAAAGATGCGAAAACATCTAGAAATAATAACAAAAAACAGCAAATTGGTCGAAGGAATTTATCCTCATCATTTACTCTGATAAATGTTTAAATAAACTTTTCAATCCGTCATATTTTCTCAATGACTCGACCGATTTTCAAAAACGAAGCGGGTAAGTATAGATAATAGAAAGCCCTTTTCATTGCGGTACCACTTGACCCCCTTCCCATTTGAAAAAAAATGGAAGATGACACCCCCGCTCAGGGGGTTGACGATTTTGCTATCATTTTTGGGACAAAAGTTGTCCCCCTCACAAACAAAATTGACGTGTTTTTGAATTTTCTGAAAAAAAAATTACCCTGGCCGTTATGCCTTGCGGAACGTTTTCGATGGGCCACCCTGTATATATACATAATTGGAAATGATTGAATAAGCTGGAAATGCTGATGTTTGTTACTATTAGTCATTAGTTATTAGTTCAATCTTGAATTACCATATTTTAGAAATAAAATCATATATTATCAATGTATAAGTATAATTGATATGTAATTCAGTTCTGATAGGTATACTTACTTGTCAATGTGGACGTGACTGCTTAAGATAATTTCAACATCATCAGGGTGAGTCAAGAATACTACAAGTCTAGGTCCAACCCACAGTTTGACTGTCCTACCGAATTCGAAGGATCTGTTGTATACGGTATTGAATATTTCTGAAAATTTGAAAAAAAAATTTAGATAAAAGAACAGACAAAATCCTAATGTTATTTTATGGTTAACTGTTGTTAATTGTATCTTAACAATCGAAGATACTGCCGAAAATCACACGACTGTCAATCACACAATTCATTCACAGTACGGGAAAAATATATTTTTATAACTGCGCATTTTAGCATTGAAACTTGAAACACATACTTTATAATAATAAATAGATTCGTTGTAATTATTTTTGATTACTCTGTATATTTAAGCTACACTTTAAAGTTTATATTTTGAATTATTTGAAAAGAGATTATACTACCCTTATGTAAGTAAATTCTAATAATTGTAAATACTAATTTCTATTCACGTTTTCGCATTAAAATATACGTGTGTCCTTATTTTAATAGTCTATAATTCAACAAATATCAATTTTATTAACGGATATTCCTTAATATTTTCTAACAACAATTTCAACAAGTCCTAAAATTATAGTAGTTATACTATTTCCTGTGTCCAGTATATATTAAAAAATATATTAAAAACATAAAAAATAATATAGGATGTCATTTAACTGCTTTGTTATTAAACGTTTATTGAATAATATTTTAAATGTTGGCTAGGTAAGCTGCTTATCGGAAATTATGTTCTAAAACATTTACTTAAACAGTCCAAACAAGGAAAAACATATCTCTTTAAAATATCTAACGACGTACCTCAGAAAAATAAGTAAACATAGACTCACACACTTTTGAAGTGAACTTTGGAGTGTCTTAACTCGGGAATCAAATCAAAAAATCGTGCGATTTACGTGAAATTTGGCATTTCGATAGATTGGACCAAGGCCAACTTAACGGTGCCACGTGGTCCCACCCTGCAAAGTTGGATAAGACGTTTCGTTTACATCTTCATCAGGGTGGGACTAAGGATTTGATATTGAAGAAAAATGTGGGTCGATTTTGGCATAATTGGGGACGGGTTACAGGATGACGCCCTCGACGTTTCGAAGCGATGCCTCTAATTGGAAGAAATCATTAGGATTTTTCTTAATTATGGGTCGATTGGAACCAAACTCGACACGTGGTTAGTAGAGGTATCCGAATGGAGTCCTCAGACGGACAGTTGGAAGTAAGAAGAAGTTTCACTTTAAATATGCCCACATAATGCATAGACATTTTTTTCCTCTTAAAAAATATTCATTAAAGAGTCTATTACGCTGTACTGTTCGGGTCGGTTTCAGGGGTCGGGTAAAGCGGTGTGTGTGTGGCCGAAGGAAATATATACAGGGTGTTCATTTTAAAACTTACCACCCACAGTATCTGCAAAAATAGACAGTTTTGTGATATTCGCGGAAACACGTCAACAAATTTATCGAGGGGGACGGTGTTTTATGAAAAATTGGATGGGCTCTGCTTTAACCCCCTAACCCCCAGGGCTACCACCAAATTTTTTTTTTTAAATGAGACAAGGGGTCGCATGACACATCATTTTAAAGGGCTTTTGACGTCCTCTTTTTTAAATTTTAATTTACCGTTGAGGAATAACGCCCATTTTAAGGTTTGAATAATTATTTTTATTTAAATCATTACCTAATCACTAAGCTTATCTAATTAATTGTTCAAAGTGTTCTCCATTGACTTGTAAACAATAAAATAATCGCGGTTCCAATTCTTGACGGACATTTTGAAAAGTTTCCCTGGATATGGCCCTACACGCTGCTGTTATGCGATTTTTTAAATCTTCAATGTTTTGGGGAACGGTTTGGTTTGGTGAAACTACTGACTTTAAATGACCCAAAAAAAATCGTTTGGGCTAAGATCAGGTGACCTTGCAGGCAATGGTCCTCTTCAGTTCCCTCTATTTGCCCTCTTCTTCCTATTCACCTCTCTGGAAATCTATCGCTCAACCAATCCCGAACATATCTGGCGTAGTGGGTAGGTGCCCCGTCTTGTTTAAAGTGAATAAAATCTCCAATAAGTATGGCGTTACCGACTTCGTCCCTTTGGATTTTCTATTGCGTCAGTAATTAGTCGATCAATTACTTCTTCCAACATGTTTAGGTAAATATATGGGACAGAGCAGTAATTTGGATATTTTTATTATGTCTACCTATTTAAAACTTAATATGGGTGTTATTCCGCAACGGTAAAGTAAAATTTAAAAAATAGGCCGTCAAAATGTTCAGAATAAAAAGCGCTTTAAAATGATGTATCACACGACCCCTCACGCTATTTAAAAAAAATTGGGGTGGTAGCCCAGGGGGTTAGGGAGTTGAAGCAGGGCCCATCCGATTTTTCATAAAACACCTTTCCCCTCGATAAATTTGTTGACGTGTTTCAGCGAATATCACAAATCTGTCGGTTTTTGAAACACCTTGTATATTTCAGAAATCTGCCTAAGGCTTAGCCCGATACTGTCGTGTTAAGCCACACCCAAAATTCCAAGCACATGTGCTTTGATTAAGGCTTGATTAATGCTTGCAGAGCTTCAGCATTTACCATAAAATAGCGAGCAATTTGTTACAAAACCACATAAATTATATATCACTGTAATCACAAAACTTCAATCTATTTTCGTATTGTAACGAAATTTTAAATTAGGTCTTTATTTCCGAGAAAATTTCGTCCAAACATAAGGAATATTTTGTTGATGTTTGATCATCAAAATCTTAAAAAGAAAGAAGTTGTCTAAAAATGTGCTACAATACGGATATAGTATAATCCATTTATTTTTAATTTCCTTCTTCATTTGTGTAAAAATGCCTAACTAGTTTTACATAAAACATCAAATGCCGAACGCTTATTTTGCTACTTTTTCGGACTAGTGAAATGGATTCTTAATAATCAGTTAATCATCACGTAGACTACATAGTTTTCTAAAAGTGTTTTCTTTTTAAATATATAATATAAAAGATTCCCATTCTAGGTTAATAAACTTACGGTTTGGTGATCCTATTAAGTCTAAAACGTTTCCTATCAATGGCCAGCCTTTGGGTCCGGGTATTTTGTCGGCTAATTCGATCATGTGACGTCTGGAGACACGCCAGTAGGCGTAAAATAAGGCTAATGTGGGCACTAATAGTAAGAAAAATGTGTTGGTAGATGTGAACAGTCCAGGACTGGCTACCTGGTCCGGGCTGGTCACCGTCGCAGACATTTTGTTAATCTGAAACAATTTTAATATTATTGATAACTAATTCGTAATACTATGACAAAAAATGAAAAGTATTTACAGGGTGGCGCACCTCATTCGCTTCGGTTGATTATATGAAAACGAAAAGATGTAGAAACAAAATATTTTATGGGTATATGTAGACAGGCAATGTGCATAATTTAAAATTATTTTGAAATGTAAAGGGTGTGTCAGAACTAAGATCCATACCAAAGTTATATTTTGTTCTTATGGAACACCCGGTATTTTATTTTATTTTTTGATTCTTTGGCATAAAATAAGGTATTTATTATAAGGGTTTAAATGCTTTGGTTTTTGAGGTATTTAAAGATATTTAAATATGCATGCTATAATAAAAATGTTTGTCAACACCCTGTACATTACTTTTCAGAATTAATTCTTGTGCTGACTTTGAAGCCAGAGAAATAAACTTTACTAAAAAAATTGATTGCTTCCTTAAATCTATACAGGAGTATCAAAAAGTGCTGGTCTATTTTAACTATTTATTTTATATAAAAACTTCGTTATTTCAAATGCAACACTATGTATTTTTTTAAATATGTCGAAGCAGATTTAAAGGCTCTTTCAAATTAAATTAGGGTTTCCTATACCTATCTGGCTCAGATTTTGAATAAAAGCGATTTTTCAATAAAATGGCAATCAAGATGGCTGGTGTCGCCATAGCAATTTGCTAGTGACAGTGACAGGTAGCTATTTTCAAAATCGACATTAGTTTATTGACTTTATTTAAATTTATAACAGTTTATTTTTTTTTAATTTGCCTACAATAGTTTAATAAGTAAGTATTTATTATTTTATCAAGAAAAATGCACAAATAGTTCTTTGATTTATATTAGAATGACTTGTAGATATATTGGATTTCCTACAAAAGAACCAATTAAGGCAAATTCATTTTCTTCACTTCCAAAGACAGGTTTCTGCCTAATAGGTTTTTCATACACCACACTATCAGCTCTGCGAAATAGGAAAAGTAGTTTTTCAAAGGAAAGCTTGTCAAGAAAATTGCTATTTGGATATCATTGAGCATAAACCCTTGAGGCCAAGAAGCAATTGTCGTCACAAAATAAAATCACTAGTAACATATTATCTATTCCTTCCTCCAGCAGATACTGCTTCCTAGATCAAATAATAAATACTTACTTATTAACATTATTGTAGGTAAATTAAATAAAAATAACCTATTATAAATTTAAATAAAGTCCATAAACTAATGTCGATTTTGAAAATAGCTACTAAGTGTCACTAGAAAATTGCCATGGCGACACCAGCCATCTTGATTACAATTTTATTGAAAAATCGCTTTTTATTCAAAATCTGAGCCAGATAGGTATAGGAAATACTAATATAGTTTGAAAGAGCATTTAAATCTGCTTCGACTTATTTAAAAAAATACATAGTGTTGCATTTGAAATAACGAAGTTTATGTTACGGATTTCTTGGGTCGATAAAGTTACAAATATCGAGGTGTTACGCCGTATGAACAAGGAAGAAGATATCCCTTAAATGAAACCCTTAAGGGAAAAAAATAGAATATTTTGTACATGTTATAAGAGGTCCTAAATACCAATTGCTCCAGAATATTATGGAAGGAAAAATCCAAGGAGGACGTAGTCGGGGCGGAAGACAAAAATTCTGGCTGTAGAACCTCATGCAGAGAATGGTATGGAATGACGTCGAATGGATTATTTAGAGCAGCTGCCAATAAAATCAAAATAGCCATGATGATTGCCAACCTCCGTTAGGAGACGGTACTTGAAGCTTGAAGAAGAAGTACTTTAAGGTGTGCTCTGGGGTACCAGACGTACTGTTGCAGGAGCCTTTATATAACCAAATAGTTTTATAAATGAACAAAATCTAATATGTTTTTATGTAAAACTCTACTCAAACTGGAAAATACAATTACTGTTTTCTGAAGATTTCTGATATAAAATTGCTTGCTTTTTAAAGATGAAATTGCTTTTATTAATATACTTATTTATCTACATCCTGTACATGAAACAATTTGAAGACATAAAGCATTATAGACAAATTGCTTAAAGAAAACTTTTTTAAGGTAACATTTTTTAATAGATAAATGCATCTCATATACAATCATTAAATCGATATAATTTATATACATCAACACATAATTAGCAAGTTTCAGAGTCAGTATCCGTAATGTTCAATTTTGTTAAATGATATAATGTTTGATATTAATTTTGTGTTCAATTTGAAAAAAAATCGTTGTGCGTCATTACACACTAATTACTACCTTCTGATGACTTCTTTTAATGAATCTGAAATTTATTTATTTACTACTGCACATGCAATTAATACAGATCTCAACAAATATTCCATTATACCTAATTATTAGAATTATTAATTGATTTCTTAGTGCAGGATGATGATTTTTTCTTGTAGTTTATTATGGAATATTTTAATATTATTGGTTTTTCAAAAAATGTGCTATAGATATATCTCCAGGAATAGTGTTGATCGATATATTTAATTAAAACCTGCAAATAGGTTGGAGGTACACAGAAAGAGCAAAACAGTTAAGGTACGTCCACATTGCTCGTGATCCTGCTCGCGCTCTTGTTGCTGATTGTGCTTGCGTTGCTTGCCTTCCTGTCTGTTGTGTTTTGCAAGATATTTCGGCTCGCAAGCAACGACGTTTACATTGTAATGTAGTGCTCTCGTTCGTGCTGTTCGGGCATGGATGATATCGAAGTATTTTTAATAGCGGCTGCTAGTGCGATCATTATTGCAAAACGAAGGAGACAAAGAGAAAAAAAGGCAACAAATCAGCGTTTTGTAAAAATCATTACACATTCTTGTAGGAAATTAAACGGTCTGCAAAAAAGGTCTGATATGAATTTTCATTTACTCGACTCGTTTGAAAGTTATTGAAGATTAAAGTTGAACTTCAAGTCGTATATGATAACTTTTTATATTTTATCACGAAATATTGACTCATTATATTATCATGAAATAATGGCTCAAAAACATAAAATATCATATTTTATGTTTTTCTTTAATTTGACACAATAGATATACCTCCAGGGTGTCCCAGGCTGAGCGTGCATTAGAAGTTCCTAGAGAACTACAATATCTAGATCGGAGATTTTTTGCACATCATTGTTTCACAACGAGATCTATCGATTAAAAATATTTTCAATATGGCGGCAATACCGGAAATACAGGAAGTTGACAGCAACTTTTTTATTTTAACTATGTATCCCCATTTTTTATTACATACTTAAATTCTCTGTAAAATTTTATGAATTTTGATATCAAACACTCTATACCTAACATTAACCGTTTTTGAGAAAAAAATATGTAAAATTTTTGGAGGAAAAAACTCAAGCCAAAAAAAACTTGTATGCCTAAACGTCAAATTTAAGGCGGCTACAGACGTTCATGCATACTTGACAAGTGTACTTGTGCAAACGTACTTGTACAAGTTTGCATTGACTCCACACAATACAAGCGCACTAGAATAGTTTTATCAAAGCAAAACCTTTGAAGGCGGGTAAAAGGACAATAACTCACAATCTTTAAGATTATGAGTTATTGTCCTTTTAACCGCTTTCAAAGGTTTTGGTTTGGTAATCAATCACACTGGGTTAGAGAACGTTTAGAATAGTTTTAGTAGGTAAAAATGGACGAAGAAGACGCGCTAGCTCTTGCGATGTTCGTTATTCTGCTAAGAAAAAAAGAAAACCCGTCGATTTTGATGCAAAAACTGCCTTCTAAAAAGGAATATTTATTCGCATACTAATATTTTAAACGAATTGAAGTTTTACCCTACTAAATATCTGTTCTTAACTGTTTATTTTTTTACAATCAAATCGCGGTTTGCAGTTTTATCAATTTCTTGCAATTTTTTAATTAAACTTTTACATGCAGCCTCTCTTTTGTTTTTATTATGATAGTCCTTTGATTTTACTTGCCATAAACAAAGAGATTCTTTATAAATACTAATGAACTCCACCAATACCTCCCGCATACTTTTTTCATGTTCACTAGCCATTTTTATCTATCTTCTGGTAACAAACAAATAAGAACCAAGCAATAAACCTACTAGAATCAATTTCAGGCTTGCGCAAGTTTGATACACACGTTCATGCATACTTGCGCAAATCACTGGGGCATGAAGAAAATTCGTACATGCCACTTGCACAAGTCGAAATACTTGTACAAGTTTGTTCCTACACACGTTCAAAATTCTTATACAAGTACGCTTGCACAAGTACACTTTTCAAGTATGCATTAACGTCTGTAGCCCCCTTTAGTGATTATTACAGCCACTGTGACATAAAGAGAAGACATGTGGCGATCTATTTCAAAAATTAAATTGTTTGAATGTCATACAATAGTGACCGTAGCTGTCATGGAATTAAGAGATCAAAAAATTATCACAAATCATTTTTTTCAATATTCTAATAAAATATTTTGGTATATTGGATGATATGCAACTTCTAAATTCAGTGATTATTATTCATTTTAACAAAGGATTTTAACAAAAACTGAATTTACATGGGAAGTAAATAAAATTTTAATTAGAAAAAAAGGTTATTTCCGATTTTAACCTTTGTTCTTATTTGTTCATTGACTGTAAAGTTCTATGTAGTTGGTATTTTGAATACAATACATTATGCTGAGCCAATATTGCCAAAGCGTTTATATTTCTTTTTCGAGTGCAATTATTCCATGATTATGGAAACGTTAATTAATGACGTCCAGCTGCTTTTATTTCGTGTAAAGTTTTCCATTAATAGATTTGTAAGTTATTATAAATGCACATAAATTATTATGGAAGATTTTGTGAATTGATACTTCGGCCAGTCTGATATTTTTCTTTAATGTGAAATTATTTAATAAGCTTCAAGCAGGTTCTATATTTACTGATTGCAATCTTAATATACCATACTATAGAAAAAAAACGGCGTCAGAGTTGTTTGGAAATGAGATTGCTGTCATTTTGTACAGGGTGTTTCAAAAAATATGTGCCATGTCTCGTGAGGAGATTTCTCACTTAAAAATAAGATTTAGTTTTTATATCAGCATAGTTTTGATTCTGTATAGATGGTAGAGAGATTTTTTTAAATATAAATAAAGTGTTCTTTTTTCAAATTTCAGAGAAAACGGTAAGGACTTTGAAAACAAATTGTTTCAATAAAAGCTGTCCCCGATCTTCTAGCCGCCCTATTGCGGGTAATTTTGATTTGAGCAAAAAAGTATAGAGACCATTTTTTGTAAAATTGTACGATCTATAACTTTTATTTGGACTTTTTTTCTCACCGTTTGTCCAAAATTTCGAAAAAATATTTTATTTATATATTTCACCCCTTATCGGGGATGAATTAAAAAAAATCACAATTGGTTTATAGATCTTTCATAGTAACTTATATCAAGAATTCAAGCATTTATTTGAAAACCTATTTTCTTGGACTATACAGAGGGTTAAAGTAATTTTTTTCGATTTATTACAAAAATATGTGCCATCTCTCGTGGGGAGATTCATCTAGTAAAAAAATATTTATTTTTCATATTAACATAGGGCCGCTTCTGCTTGTTTTTTTAGGCCGTTTAATTAGAAGTGTTATTATATCTTGATATTTTGAGGATCTCGATCTACTTGATGAGATGAACGCAATTTTATTAATCACAGTTAATAAAATTAAAATAAAAATGATAAATTTTATTTATTTAATCAATTTTATTATTAAATTTTATTAAAATATATATCACTGATGTTAAGTGCTTCCAACAGCAAATTAAAAAAAAAAAATAATGGTATTAATTATACAGGGTAAAATCCTAAAATTAAGAAATTGTGGCTTATCAAGTTTTTCCTCTGGGCACTCCATTTGGTTTTAAATCAAGATTAATTAAATTAAAATTAAAATAGAAAACAAAAAAAATTATAGAAGAGAGAATAGAAAAGAGAAATAAATACATATTTAGAAAAAATCTAATAAATCATAAAAATGGAAATTATTATATGAATATAAAATTGATATAAATTAATTATTATTGATTTAATATTTATTATTTTATTGATTCAATTCCGCATTTTAAAATTTAAGTTAGAAAACAAAAGAAAGATAGCAAACAGAACAAAATAATTTAAAAAAAGAAAGCAGAAATATTAAAGTAAACTAAAAATATAAAAATAATTTCGGCTATTCAGTTGTAAATATAGATATAAGCAAACAGAAATGAAAAAAATAAACAAAATATAAACTGACATTGTAAGTTTCAAACGAAAATAAGTAAGAAAATTGCAAAGCAAATAAAATAAATAATATTAAGTTAAGATATTAAATTGATTACAGAAAAGGTATTATCAGACAGACATATTTCTTTAGTTGCTATTTCTCCTTAAAATATACAACAAAAAGTAAATGAAAAGTTTATAAAAAATAAATTAAAACAATAAACAATAAACAAAAGAATAAAATAAAATAATAAATAATTAAAAGTAAATCAGACCGATCAATTATACAGAGAATCTTGTATGAGTACTTACATCTGCTATACTTGTATATCACAACCGGTACCACAATGAAATGGTTCCTGAGATGCTCCGTTTTGATTTTATATATGTGCATGAATAAATATCTATGGTACCATATATATACCAGGCTTACGTCAAAATTCTTAATTTTTAAATTTCCAAGCTTTCTGTTGACTGTTAATTACAAAAAGGTGAAAAAGGTTAACTCGAAAGGTAGGAAAATGAATAATTCTACAGAAATTAACTAATTATACTTGTATTCGATGCGCTTTTTTTCTTACTTTTAATTGATTTGGTATCGGGTTGCTTCAGTGGTACTTAGTAGATGGTTGTAATTTAAAATATGAATTCTACTTTTCATATTTTTTGACATCTACTTTTTACGTATTTTGAAAATGACACTACTTTATTCTTGAGCCAATTTTGGATTTTTAAAGCTATATGAAATAACTTCAATATTCATTACACTTAGATGAAAAGAAAACGCAACAGAATATTTTTTATCAAGTTTAAAGTGTATATATTTTTTATTTTTAGTCTTATTTTCATGATTTTTTTAGCAAACTGTATATAAATGTATCAACTTTAATTCATCAACTCAGTTTTTTATAAATTTTAGTATTTGGCTTACCCATTACACAGAGCTAATTGAAGAGTTGTTTTTTACCTTAACTTTAAAACACCCTGTGGAATAATTTGCTGAGTGATTTTTCCTAAAACATTATTTTTCTGTCAGAATCATGTCTCCTGAGTATTTTATTTTTTGACTCTTGCCTTGATTAATTTTTAAGAGTGAAATGAACTTGCCACGAACAATTTGCATTTTTTTCAACTATCATTACTTTAAGATGTTCTTTTTTAATATCACGAGGTGGCTTTGGTCCCTATTGTAATGTCATATCGACACTGATTAGAATTCTATATTAAAATTTAAAAAACGTAAAAATATAACGATACAGGCTTGGTTTTAATAAATATTAGAAACACTAAAAGAACTAAGAATATTAAAAAAAATAACAGTAATAACTAACAGCGCTTTCAGATGGAGCGGATCGTACGCGCGGAGCGTCCGGCTTCCGCGCGGATGAGGCGCAATAGAGACGCTGCAACAAAACTTAATATCTTGTAGAAAGGTAGCTTACTGGAGCATACAGAAAAGCTGAAGTATCTCAGAGTGATACTAGACAGGACCTTAACATATAGGTTCCACTGTCAGAAAACTCGCCAGAAAGTCAGCGCTAGAAATAACATTTTAAGAAGGCTATCTGGAAGCAAGTGGGGCGCAAATCCATCTGTCTTAAAAACAACTGCACGGGCTTTATGTTTTTCCACGGGAGAATATGCCTGTCCCGTATGGAATACCTAGGGCGAGCCATGCCAAACAAGTTGATGTTGCTTTAAATGAAACATGCCGAATAACAACAGGATTTATAAAAGCAACAAGCTTATCTCAACTTTACAGAGCTAAACCAAACCAAACCAAACCGCAAAGCGGCTGAACACACTGAAAAGTTTAAACAGATGTTTGACGAGCGCCATCCGCTTTTTGGCGAGTTCCAAGGACCAAGCAGACTCCGATCTCGGAAAAACTTTTTAAAAACTGTTCAAGAAGATCCACCGCTTGATTATCCTCTGAAAGAAGAAGATTCTGCAGGCCAACCCAACATCTTGATTGGGTCACGTGGAAGTCCCTAAACCGCATCGGAACAGGAGTAGCGCCTATTAAAACCAACAAAGTGAAATGGGGACTTATCACGGACTAAGGCACAAAATGTGAATGCGGCGAAATCCAGAATATGGAGCATCTGCTGTCATACATAAAATGCCCTCATACATGTACCCTTGAAAATTTATGGAACGCCGATGAAAATGCTCTTGACGTCGCTGGGTACTGGGCTAAACAATTTTAAATTATAATTGTACGTTATGTACTTATATGGTCCGGATACGAAAAAGTAAAGTAAGTGCACAGTGTGTTTTAAATATAGATAAAAAACAACTCTTCGATTTACCTTGTATAATAAGTCAAATACTAAAGTTTATAATATACTGAGTTTGCGAATTAAAGTTCAGGATTCAGAGCTTTTATCATGTATACAATTTTCTAAGAAACCTGGTATGTGTTCAAAATTCTTAAACACACTATATATCAAAATATGTGTTCAGATTTTTACTAAAAAATATGAGCCGGGATCTAAAAAGAATATGTGATAATAATGTATTGCATTAATTATTTTTATGCATTAATTGGTTAATTAATAATGCATAATATGCATTTATGTATTAGGAATTCTGTATGCAATTTCCTGAATATATTTGTACTGAATTTTAATTACTACAAAAGTTAGCTTTATGATTACTACAAAGGTTTCTTTTAGAGATTAATTATATAGGGATAACCACGAGGAATTAAGAGACCTAGAGGAAGACCAAACCTGAGATGGGACCATGATATTAGGAAATTAGCAGCGATAACTTGGGCTCGCATAGCAAACAATAGACAACAATGGGTTCAACTACAAAGAGAGTATCTAATCTATCTTAAGAGAGTATCTACACCATAATTGGAAATGGTTGAATAAGCTGAGAATGATGATGATGATGATTACTCGCTTATCTATCCCAAGTTTGTGTATTTTGACTGTATTGATGAAATTGGTTCAGATTCTATATTACTTAACATTATTTTTTAGTTGATTGTTTGATATAGTTGATTATACCTAATAATAAATGGATATAATAAAATAAAGTACGAATAAATATTTATGACTTACATATTTATGTCTGTTACTAAACCAACCACTACTAATGTTGGCGAAATAAATGTACTTAGATGGTTTTATATAGAGAAAACAATGCGTACTAGTTGTACGTCAAACACGTCATATTTTTCCTATTATACTTTTTAATATAAACAACCTTAGAAGGTTAATTATTAAAGAACCATTTATGAGATACGATGCATGGCCCTATTTAATTTTAATGCATTGTTGATGGTAGGGATTTTGAATAAAACCACCGTTTTGGGAAGAATCTTTATATCTGCACACATACCTATACCAATATTAACTGAATGACAAAAAAGGAGAACACCTTTTTTTAGTGATATTAAAATAATGGAAAATCTGGGTAAATTTTAGTGTGTTGCTGACCTCCAATTTCAGACACACTCATTGAGACACCTGACTATAGTTCTGAAACTCGGGCGTCTCAATGAGTGTGTCAGAAATTAACTGAGTATTAACTGAATATAGTTCTGATACTTCTTCTAGCTAGGAGATGCGAGACCTTGTTGTTGGTGGGGAAAGCTCCCTGTCAGGTGCTAGGGGAAATCCCCCTCTAGCACTCTGACTGGATCTAAACAGCATCTCATTGACTTGTCCCTTAGGAATTACATCAAGAGGTATAAGGATGCCGGATGGGACTATCCTGTCCGTCATACCAGGCACCCTCTACTGTCTGTGGTAGTGATGGGCATTAGGATTCTTTTTAGTGAATCGAATCACACGATTCAATTTCTCATATTGAATCGACTCCTACGATTCGTTCATTTGAACGAACCACATGCACAATTTCGTGAAAACAAGAATCGTAACTGACACTACCGGCGATAATTTGGCGGGACAATTATTTAAGAGACTAGAAAAAGAAATATACAGTTCTTCCATTTGTTTTTCAACACTTTATGACACTAGCGTCATTGGATTGATTATTTTACAAATAATATTAAATTATAAATCCGATTCATATATATTATTTATTAAAGACTTCTTAATATCAATTTAATATTTTTAAAGCCATATTAATAATAAATAGTGTATAATACCGCATGATTGAAAAAAATGGGATCCAGTTGGCTTAGAAATGAACATCGATGACATTCCCCATATAATTTTACATATAAAATGGCAGCGATTTTCATTTATATCCATCGCTGACGCCGTTTTTTATCATATTGAGCAGATGCCAAAAATATTTATTTGGAGTTGCATAAAAACATGATTTGGTCTTTTAGTCCGACATTTAATGGCTTATAGTCGGTAATATTATTTTAACAAAAATATTAACGTAAAAATTAAATATCCCCGTAATTAAAACTCCCGTACTGAGCACAGTATAAATAAGTTTTTTTCTTGTAAATAACATTCTTATCGTTTGCATTTTATGCCCATGATGTTTGTTTTGGAGGGCTTTTGTTCTAAATATTGGTGTCTAAATATAATATTGGTGTCTAATTATAATATATATAAAAGTCTAAATATTGGTGTCTGACTCTATGCCTATATCACCGCCGCGCCGCACCGTAGAAAAGAACTATCGCATTGTGATCTGATTCAATTCTCACAATTCTTTTTTACTGCTCATTGTTGAAATCTTATGGATCCGTGTTGGCCACGATTCATTTGAACGAACCGTACTGTAAGCAATGAATCAATTCTCACGACTCTTTGAACCAACGATCGCATTATGATCCGATTCAAATTTCACGATTCTTTTTTACTGCCCATTGTTCAAATCTTATGGATCCGTGCTGGCCACGATTCAATTGAACGAACCCTACTGTAAGCAATGAATTAATTCTCACGACTCTTAGAACGAACGATCGCTTTATGATCCGATTCAACTCTCACGACTCTTATTTACGGCTCATCGTTCAAATGTTCTATCGTGCTGTATCGTTCAAATGTTATGAATCCGTGCCGGCCACGATTCAATTGAACGAACCATATTGCAAGCAATGAATCCATTCTCACGAAAATTATGGATCCGTGCTGGCTCATTCGATTCAATTGAACGAACAGTATTCTAAGCAGTGAATCGAATCACACGATTTGTTTTTCATACTCGTTGAACTGAACGACTCGTTCAATCTTTGCACACCTCTAGTCTGTGGTCATGTATCACGGGCAGAGGGTGGGGGTCTTAGATTAATTGCCTGGACCAAGAGGAGACAACCTCACCAAAAACCTAAATCCTACGATAGCGGGACCAGGCCAAAGGGATGCGTGGCTAGTTAGAAACCTCTACTAGTCTGAACAACTTTGGAGCATCAAGCGGCACCCCATTGTATTCCCGCCTCTCTTACTTGCAAATGCGGGGCTACGTTTCTGATCCCATTGAATTTTCCCAAAACTTAAAAAATAATATTTTTTTTTAAAATTACTCGTACAGTGGCGAAATATCCATCATGTTTTGCAAAATTGAACCTTCAACAAAGGTGTAGACATGATTTTTAAAACATACTGAGAGTTTCAAAATCTCAACAAATAATAAAATTGATCTTATTTTATTTTTCGCGTTTTTCCAAATAACTGCGTCTTGCGTAAAGATGAAATTAGAGTTTTTTTCCCAAACCAAAACAATGGATCTTTCTTTAAACATTATACTAACATAACTTGAATTTTCATTGAAAAAAATTTCCTATATTATGCTTACGTAAATTTAAGGTATACTGCTAGAGTTGCTTTTATTAATTCTGTGCTTATTAACATGTATACCGCCATTTTTGTGGACCTTATTATTGACGATATTCTGCTATTGAAGGTCAAGATATCATATTAGGAGATGTACATAGTCGAAGGTATAGTAAAGTATAAAAATAAAATACTATTAATAATGAAAACTATTATTTCTACGAATGATATACTATTAATAATACATACTCTATTATGAACATGGATTCGTCAATTAATAGGTGTATTCGGCAGGAAGTATTATGCAATTATTGAAGGATAATTACAGGATTCGAATATACCGAGTGTCTTAATTTGGGTGGTCTGTGAACTACTTGATCTTAATGTTGCTTTGACTTTGATAATTGCTTGAAATAACTTTATTTTAATTTATACAGGGTCCGACAATAGTGCGTCGGGCATCTGTTGCTCCTAGAATGAAAAACTTGGTAATTTTGTTTAAGTGCAAACCTAAAGTATGTACTAAGATGTATTTCAAGAAAATATTTTAACTTCTATGCTCAAAAAAGTGTGAGTTGATCGGGTGAAATGAAAAAAAATTGCGAATGAAGAAAATGATGTTATGGATTTGATTTCAAATGGCAGGCGATTGTGCATTTTTTCGAGTTGTATAATATTGAACTTTTGACTAACTCTGAGCGTTGGGTAGGTAGATGAAGATCTTGCACCGCGTTCCTGAGTGGATAAATGTGAGATGGCCTTTCTTGAGAAGCTGATACATGCTTACGTATGAGGCAAATGGATTCAAATATAAATTAGGAAGGACGAGTTAATATTTTTAATTTTTTAAAAAAGTCCTGGCAATGAGTTCTGCTGTTTAGTCCCAGTGAATATCGAACAGCTCTCTTCTGGAGCTTGAAAATGCGGTCAAATTGAGTCGCACAACACGTACCCCAGAATGGAAGAGCATGAGCGACTCAAAAAGTGCATAATAAGCAGTTCTAGCCAAATTATTTTTTTCGACAAAGTGTCGATATGCATGCCCCATTTTAGAGAATTGTCTACAACAAGCCCTAAGAATTTTACAGATTTTACGACATCAGTGGTGGTGTTGTTAAGTACAAAAGGTTGCAGCGAGTTTTTATACGACAAAGCTTTAGTTTTAGAAATGTTGAGATTCAGGAGGTTCGAATCGCACCAAGATTTAATGGTGATTAACTCATTTGATATAATCCTATGAGGTGCCGTGACGTCCTTGTTGCTCCAAGTGAAGCTAGTGTCGTCCGCAAAAAGACATATTTTACCAGTGATGTTTATGTTAGCAATGTCGTTAATAAAAAGAAGAAACAAAATAGGGTCTAGTACTGAGCCTTGAGGTACTCCATATTCTATTGGCTTGCTAGAAGACAACGTGTTATCCACCCTCACAAGTTGACTTCTGATGCTCAGATACGACTTAAATCATTCGAGAGATGTTCCTCTGAACCCATAGTGCTGCAGTTTATTAATTAGGATGTTATGATTTACACAGTAGAACGCCTTAGAAAAAGCACAGAAAATTGTTGCTGTAGAATGATGGTTATTTAGGCTGGAGTAAACTTTACTAAGGAGGGAAAATATAGCGTCATTTGTGGACTTGTTGCTTAGAAATCCAAATTGATGTCCAGTAAGTATTTTGTACTTAAACAGAAAAGATACCAGCCTTCTCTTAACCGAGCTTTCTATGATCTTAGATAGCGTTGGAAGGTATGCAATTGGGCGATAGTTAGAATGCATCCTAATCAAATCGTAATACATACTTTAGGTTTGCACTTAAACAAAATTCACAAGTTTTTTGTCTTAGATTTTGTCCCTATACCGGGTGTTGCATCGTCGGACGGGACATAGGAAATCCCATGTAAATTTTAATGGGGTTAATTATTGACTTCCCTAATTATTTTAGAGAATAATTCTATTTAGGTTTATTGAAGAGCACTAAAACCCACATTCAAAAGAATAACTTTAGATATTTTTGATTAGCTCGTTAACGAGTTATCGCCGATTTCTTTTTAAATATTTCTCCTTTCTTATGGCCCTGTATTTACTTATGAGCACCAGTCAAGGTAAAAGATAACTGTCAAATGAAGTTGTCATATCAGAAATTTACCTATTTAGTGCTTTATTATTATTGAAAACTCATTCCTACATCGGAAATCTTAAAGATGGATATAAATACAAATTAATATGAATTAAAGTAAAATAAGGTTAATTATAGTATTATTACAATATTCAATAACTTATTCATTTAGGTACTATTAAATTGATAGAACTTTAGGATTTAAGAAGATGTTCAAATATTCCTCCATCGACTGCTAGACAATAACCCACGCGATCATAAAATTCTCTTCTTACATTCGCTAGTTGGTAAACTGAAATTCTCTTGCATTCGGCAGAAATAGCATTTTTAACTCGTCTAGATTTCTCTCTGTTTTTTAAATGGCCCC